TAGACGGAACTGCATAAAATGCACGATCGCACCGGCTGCCCTGGTGCGCGCCGCTTTTTCTTTCTTTTTTTTCAGATGGAACCAGCTGCTGGAGAACATCAATCGCGGAGCCGTGTTCGTACGCCTCGAGCATCCAGTCCGTTGCATCCGAGCAATTTTGAAGGTATTTTGCGCTTTTTTTCACGCATTTCTACGTTTCAGCAATTTGCAAAGACATTAGAACGAACGTTTTATAATAAAGTAACGAAGTAGACTTATTTCGCAGTGCATTTTCACGTTCGTTTTTCTAGCAACAAAGTTGACATGATCCATTTCTTGAGCTCTTGCTCTTGGGCTTGTAAAATCGTTGTTTACCTTCTCTACATGAAAATGTCAAAGAATTTAATGTTGAGAAGTTGAGAGGCTCGTTCAAAAGTAATTATCGACACTTCTCACATCTACACTGCTGCTTTCATCTGCATACTTTGCCTCAGTAAGCTTCTGTTTCATCTTCTCGCCACTGTTGCAACTGGCAGCTTTTCCATTCTTCGTCTTCGATCTCCCTCATCTACGTAATTTTTTGTAGTTGCTTTCACTGCATCCCCCTGGCTAATCTCATATTCGAAGGATTATTTAGAAATAACCTCGAGAAGGCTTCGACTTCTTGGCATACTCCAGTTACGAGGGATACATCTTACAAGTGGACTGCAGAGGAGCTACTTTTGGTGATTTCGAACTATTACAAGCTGTTTCGTTGACTTTTTCAGGCAATGTGATCAGTTTTTCAGATCGTTTGGCATCTCTCGAGACTGAAGAAGAGTTCCGAGCATCGTTGGAAAAGTGCCCCAAGGGAGGCGATTCATTGGAAAGAAACCCTCCTCCGAAAGGTAATTTCTTCTAACACTCGCTCTTACACTCCGTTTGGTCGTTTCGTAGGACACATTTTTAGTAATCAAAAGTTAAAGCCCTCTGTATGAGGGAGCTCTGACTTCTTTTTATAAAAAATAATGAAGCCAGACGGCTTTGTCACTATGAGCAAAGCTGTTGATGGCTTCATTTTTTGAAAATTGTTCTTTTTTTTTGTATGATCTGCAAAATAACGGACTATCGACAAGTGGAAGTTTCACCTTTGGCTTTCCTGACAAAAATATTGTATTTTGCCACCAACAGCCAAATTCTTTTTTCCCACGCTGAGTATAGTGTTCCTATCTGCCTTCTGCAGTTCAGCATGTTCAGAACTAATCGAGTGCCTTTCAATCGAATTGTCAGCCCTTCTGTAAAATATTTTACTCTATTCATTTAAATTATACCGATCCTATAGTTTTTTGCAAGCCTCTGAACGAGTGTTGCATTCTTTTTGGTCAAATCCTGCGTTTTTGTCGCTTGCACTGTTTTCCAAACTATGAACACAACGGCTGTCCTCGCTCCTGCAAGCATTTTTTAACGGTCAAACAAAACTTTGTACTTTAAAAGTATGTGCCTTTGAGAGTGCTTTGGAACTTTTGGATATTTCAGAGGTGGAGGAGATAACAGCAAAGCCACCAGAACAAAAACTGCCACCGCGTACACCCGGCGTAAGTTTTTAATTTACTTCGTGAGTCTTTGGTCTCATCCTTAATTATCCACTCAGTGGAAAGGGATCTATACTTCTTGGATATCCTCCATCCGGATTACTTTAAAATCCTATGACATGCTTTCGTTTAGTACTGAAGGTATGCAGTTTTGTGTGAAAGATGCATCGTCATTCCATCCCGCTTCGCCTT